ACCATCTTAGAAACCACCATAACAACCACCGCCATAACTAGCACCATAGCAATCACCTTAGCAACCATTGTAACCACAATGACAACCACCATAACAACCAACATGACAACAATTACAGCAATCACCATAACAGTCATCACTATAACAGTCAACATAACAACCACCAGAGCAACCACCATAGCAACCACCATAGCACCCACCATAACAACAACCATAACAACTACCATAGCAACTGCCATAACAACCACCAACATAACAGCCACCATAACAAACATAATGACAAACACCACAGCAACCACCATCGCAACCACCATATAACCACCACCATAACAACCACCATAGCAACCACCATGACAACCAACATAGCAAGCACCATAGCAACCACCATAACAACCACCACCATAGCAACCGGCATAACCACCATAACAACCACCATTGCAACTACCATAACAACCACCAAAGCAACCATCTCAGCAACCACCATAACCACCATGACAACCATCACAGCAACCGCCATGACAACCACCATAGCAACCACAATAACAACCACCATAGCAACTACCATAGCAACTGCCATAACAACCACCAACATAACAGCCACCATAACAAACATAACAAACATAATGACAAACACCACAGCAACCACCATCGCAACCACCATATAACCACCACCATAACAACCACCATGGCAACCACCATAACAACCACCACCATAGCAACCGGCATAACCACCATAACAACCACCATAGCAACTACCATAACAACCACCAAAGCAACCATCTCAGCAACCACCATAACCACCATGACAACCATCACAGCAACCGCCATGACAACCACCATAGCAACCACAATAACAACCACCATAGCAACCACCATAGCAACTATCATAACAACCATAATGACAACCATCATAGCAACCACCATAACAACCACCATAGCAACCACGATAACAACCACCATAGCAACCGCCACTACAACCACCATGACAACCACCATAACCACCATAACAACCAAAATCCTTGACATTGACAATAAGGGACATGCTCGACCTCAATGACACCAATAGAAAAATATGTCTACTACAACATATAAAAAATGTGGAGGGGTTTTCTTTTTTTTTTCCACACAGATTTACCTAGAGGTTGACTTACCCCAAAATGTTAACAGGAAGCTCAAACCAATAGCAAGTTTAAGTATTTCTTATGGTTGGATATCTGCCTATTTCAGCTTGTTAAAATAATTGAAAATAAGTGCAGATGATCCAACCTCCTGATGTTCAAAAAGTTCAGTTCAGATGGACGTGTCACAGTTTCCATTGGGAGAGTCTCTTTGTATCCGAGTGGACAGTCAAGTATTTGGACAGTTGTTTTTGGAATGACCACCACCCACCACTGACCTACATCTGAGACTGCAGAAACAAACCAGAACTAGCTGTGTGTTAAAGTTGGACTAGGCATTATTTCACTTAAGAACACACTTAAGATCATATATATATATATATATATATATATATATATATATATATATATATATAATTCATGACCTCACAGTAAGGAATTCCATAACTGTTACCTTGCAGCCATCTCATATATTGGTCCAAAACTCCTCTAATGTACACAAAAAATATTATAACATAATAATATTATAATATTGGTGGAGGGGCTCTTCTTGCTTATTTTCGTGAAAATGCTGTTCCTTAGGCTATAATATTAGAAAAAAATGTTTCTTGCGTGTAAATTGTGCAGCTGGAATTCACAGGTGCAAATGCAAGGAACAGCAATATAAAAGTGAAAAAATGCATAGCACACTCAAATGGCCAATGTCCTAAAGCTTTTTTATTTTTATTTTTAAATAATGTTTCAGCAAAAGCCTTTATCAGATAATTTTTCTTGCTTTAGACCACAGGAATGTTCAGGTTCCTGCGTTACCGAAAACAGACAAAAAACTTTTAAAATAGCCTAAAAAATAACAACTAATTTCAGGAGCCTGTGTTTAATACGAGGGTTCATAGTTCTGTTTAGGAAAGTATAAATGGTTTACACTTGTACTATAGAAACAAGTATAAAAAAAAAGTACTAATATGTAAGGATGAAAAGTATAATTTCAAAATAGCACATGGCTCATATGTGGTCAGTACTTTAACAGTGTAGTGACAACTTATGCATGAATTCTATTTGCGCAACAATTACATTTAAATAAACTTTTTTTTTTTTCTGATTTTAAGTAATATTTCCTAGTATATAAACTTTAAAATACAGCCATGCATTTCACCATATGACCAATCACTATAGTTTCCTTTCATAGTCCTGGGGTATACAAGAAATAAGTTCCATATGGGGAAAAAAAGGATTCTCTTTCCTCCCTCAATCTGCAGCCCTCCTCCTCACTCAGAGCAGCAGAACCATCAGCCTCCTCAGTCTCTCCATTTTCTCCTCATCACATTTTTACTGTTCGCAATTAGAAAATCACAAAGGCTGACATTATTAAAGCCCCAGTATGTCACTGTAGCTAAGAAAGACTAAAATAAAAGCATTCATTTTGGTTGCTTATAGAGCCTTACTCTGAGTGAGCTTGCATTTCCACAAACCTGACTCTTCTTTGGCCTGGAGGAGAGGTCTTCTTGTTTATTTTCATGGAAATGTTGTTCCTTGAGCTATAATATTCTAGCCTGATTCACTTCATGGGAACCGTTTGGTCCCTTTTTGCATTAGGATTCATTCGCTCGATGGTAGGTGGATATTTTTTTTTATTTAATCAGTCGCTGCTATTTGGTCGTGATGTATGTAATGTGCCAAATCCCATAGGAAGAAGGGCAATAAAGTCTTTTCCCATGATAAAATTGTAAAAACATTCTCTTTGTTCCGGCTTTAAATCCTTGATCTTGGGAATCGTTGCCAACACAGAATGTCTGTCTTCGTCTACATCCATCTTGACCACTTTGTTTACTGTTGTGCTGTTCCACAAAAGGGACCCAGACAGACGCTTGAGTTTGACGTCATGGTTTCACAGCTCTTCTCTGATTGGCCGGTGCACTTCCCGGGTTCTTGCAAACCGTCTAGTGTATTCTGATTCCTGACCTATTCTCTGGAGAGAAGTGAAATTGAGCGGCGGCACTCGGTGTCACCAGCCTGGGTAATAATATTCCACAGAATGGCATAAATCTTATATATCTCTATGGAGAATGTTCAGAAGCATGGCTTTAGCTTTCTGTTTCTCTGGAATCCTACAGGTGATGTGCCAACTGCAGAAAGTTACACACTGAACCTTTAAGTAACATAATTTCATCTGCAAACAATACATCTTGTACATCTGTAAAACAAGACCTTTGCAAACTGTTCTGAAGTCCATGTGGTTTAAGAGTAAGCACTTCATATTTCTCTCTCAAATCTGAAAGCTCCTGACAGCTTTGAAAGTTGACCAGCATCTCAATTCTAATTACAATTCCAACATTTGTCCATTCAAAAATCAGCCCTTTGCTTTGACTATAACAGTCTGACCTTCTGAAATACACTTTTGCTTGTGTGTCTGGTGAACATTGTGTCACAAGGTGCTCCCTCACTCCATAGATATCCCACTGTAAGATTTATATTATAAATACTTCCATTCTTTCTCATCAAAGCTGTCCGTCAAATCTCCTGGCCTGGTCTGGAGCTTCAAACAGCAGACACAAGCTAGTTTAAATAGAACAACGTGTGCCTCTCCACCACATCTGGCTCTGCGCCCTCTCTCCAGATGTTTTCAGACCACGTTCCTCCTTTAAAATCCCACTTGCCTCACCGTCTCACCGTCTCACTCCCATCCTCTGTGTGCGAAGGCTCCAGGGCTGTATTTTCCAGCCTGACGTCCACACATGGAGCTCCACAGTGGGGTTTAAGTGTGGCTCCTGTGCTCTGCCTCAGCCTCACTCTGGTATAATGAGGCTCAGTAAAAGGCTGGTGGTCAGACACATGTGGAGGAGACACAGCAGGTAGTCTGGGGCTGGATATGTGTTAAAATTCCAGTTGCCACTTTGGGATTTGGGCCAAACTGTGTGAAACTATAATAACATGGAACACTGGTGTGAAAGGTCATAAAGTCAGCCTCTCAGTTTAAGTCCCCCGTTTATTTTTATAGAGCCACGTTCAGGCAAAGTGTCTGGCTCAAGGATACAATGACTGGCATCAAACCACTAACATTGGTGAATTGAATGCATTGCACAGGTGTGACTATGCCTCCACAATCCAGGCTCTCACCCAGGCTCTGGTATAAGACAGACTTGTAGGTGAGGCTGCTTTATTTGTGCTTGTAGGTACATTTGTTTTACAGTTTGGTCCCATGTTTCACATTTCATTCATTTACACTCTACACTATAGTCTATAGGCGCATATATAAACGCATCACATTGGGGTGTTACATTGCTCCAGTGCACAATGGTTTTGTTCTACACATACTGAATCACACTTGGCTAAAATTCATAACAAATATTAAATATATAAAAACGAGTTACCAGGACTTTAAAGACAAGGAAATAAAAATTATAAATAAATAGACCACAACTTATTGATTAATGCAATAGCAGCTGGAATGAAGCTCCTTTTTAAAATGATTTGTTTTAGAAATAATAGTTTTAAACCAACTCAGACGTGTATCTACTCACTCCACATCCATAGAATAAAAGAATGTGTGTCTCACTGAAGGACACACTGCCAGTATGAAGAAAGTGCAGCTGGGATTCCTGGAAACTAAACTCTATGGTACTGCTTTCGCGATGCAATAAAAAGTCTTTTCTGTTTGAAATCAGATCTGATATTGTGCACCAGAGCTGCACTGCAAAATCACTTATAATATGATACTGCTTGATGCAATGTTTATATCACAAGAAAAGAAATATTGCTGCTAAGTGGGAACATCAGAGATTTACCATTTTGTAAATTTGCCGTGTTTTAAATTGAGAGAAATTGCATTTCTGTGCTGTACTTAGAGCAGTGTTTGTTCTGTTGGCAGCCCTGTGTGTCTCTCACCTTGGATGTGGTTGGCTTCCAGGTAGAGATACTGCAGACTGCTGGGCACAGTGGGGGTGCTCCTCAGATGGTTGTAGGACAGGTCCAGCTCGATGAGGCTGGAGAGGTTGAAGGAGTGTGGGTGGAGGTTGGGGCTGTGAAGGGAGCAGTGCCCCAGACGCAGGTACTTGAGGTCGGGGTACGAGCTGAAGCTGTCCTGGTCCACAGAGGACAGGCTGTTATTGGACAGGTACAGCTGCTGCACTGAGGGGGGCAGGTGCTTTGGGACAGACTTAAACAGGTTTCCACTTAGGTCCAGAAGGTTCAGGCTCAACAGACCTGGAACACAAAACAGACAATATACCAGTAGAACTTTAAAGAATATTTTAAAGGTGCACTTTGTAACCTTTCTGGTGGAAAGTCCTAAGTTAATAATAAGTAAGATGATCTGTTTTGTTCACTCACATTATTATACATCATATACCTTTTCAAATCGGCTTCAGCTTCCTGTTATATGAAACATTTTGCCTTATAATATAATATTTAGTTTTAAATTGTTAATCGCTGTACCAATGGTCCTGCTTTTTCCTGATTGTGGACCCATGGATTATTCTCATACCTGAGAAGTCCTTCTCTGACACGGTCTTGAGCCTGTTCCCCTGAAGCAGCAGTACACTGAGTCTGTGCAGTGAGGAGAGGGCACTGGCTCCGATGCTGCTGATCCGGTTATGAGCCAGTCTGAGCTGCCGGAGGCCCCCAGGCAGACCCCCGGGGACGGACTTCAGACGGTTGTGGTTGGCAAACAGGTACCACAGCTCGGTCTGGTTCTGGAGCAGGTCCTGGTCCAGGGATTTGAGGAGGTTATGGTCCAGAATGAGCCAGCGTAGACCAGTGACGTTAGAGAAGAGAGAGGAGGGGAGGGATGAGATGTTGTTCCCCTGAGACAAAAGAAAATATATTGATTATTTATACAAAGACTGTCAGTGGAGCAGTGTGGAAAAAGTAGCAGGTGCCATATGTAACTTTTCTGGTGGATTTACTAATTTGTCTGAGGCTTTATTAGACTTCAATCTGAGCTTCATTTTAACACAGTCTGACCAAAAAGAACTGAGCTAGTTGGATCTACAACAGGCAAACTGATTATTACTGTTAAACAAGTGACATTTCTGTGCAAAAGCTGACCAAAACTATTTGAATCAGCTGTCTGTGTAGTCTTTGTGGAGCATTCATTCACAGCCCTTGCGTTCGGTGGAAGTTCGACGTGTAGTAACTATTTGGCCGAGGTGCATATCGTACATTGAATGTGTGTGGCACGGTAAACACTTCAAGTTTTCTGATTGGCTCTCATGTGCATTAAGGAGCTCTCTGATTGGCTTTCATGCACGTTGGGGATCTGTGCGGCACTTCCACGAAGAACTGATGCAGAACTATAAACCTGCTTTAACACAGTGCCACACAGAGGCCACTAGCGAAGCGTGTGCCAAGTAATCCAGGAAGGCTTTGGTGAAGCACGTATCGAGGCTTGTATCGGTGACGTATGTGGTGACGTTCGAAGTCTCGCGAACCGCCCGTACCGCGTGACTGGTTTAGGAAGTGGTTTGCGGATTTGGTGCACAATATGAAACATAAGGGCCAGAGAAATGCAATGGATTCTCCTAAAATATTTTGTGGTTTTGAGTTACTGTGAGTTTGAGATTCTTTTTCCTTTTTTTTTTTTTTTTTTGCAATGGAGCCAGCAAGAAAAAGATTATTTTCCACTGTTTGAGAACATTTTGAGCTGATATCTCCTAATAAGGTTTTTAATTATAATGATGTCATTAAATAAACAATATTACTAAATACACAAATTTGACAACAAGTGTTTCCCCTGGTCTAATATATTTCTTGTAAAAAAAAAAAATTTTAAAAAAATCAGGTGAAGTGTCTACTTTTTCTGTTAACCTGACCATTATATCATGAACACAGACTTCATGTTAATTAATTCACAATTTATGTTGATATCATAAAAAATTTAATCATTCATTTATTCAGTATAAATCTTTCCATCAGAACCACGATGATCATGTCGATTGTATTATTATCAATCTGCCTGTTATACATTTTTTGGCCACTTGATGGTGTAGTGGAGCAAATGAAGCACCTTGAAGCATTGGCTCAAGAGTCGAGCAAATAGATGGAATGCTTCAGTGCTTCATGGGGCTTCATCACTAGCGGCCACAAAGCCTCAGAATGGCTCTTACAGAAATTACACAAAAATATGTTTTAAGCATTAAAGTATTAAAGTAATTTATAACATAGATCCTCAGTAAAAAACCTTCTTCCCTCACTGTTGCCACATGGAAGTGAACATACTAACTCCAGCCAGAAGGAGTCAGTAGGAGAACATAGTTTTATAGTGGATTCTTTTACTGTTAGTTCAGATTTCACATCACAAGTCTGCGCCCCCTACCTGCAGAAACACGTACTGCGTCCGGTCCGGCAGTGTGTCTGGAGCTTTCAGGAGCTCGTGGTGGTCACAGTAGAGCGCGGTGGGCCACTGTATGGGACACTCACACTGGGCGGGGCAGGGCTGGGGGCTGTTGGCTCTGAACCAGGACAGGTCTAAGCTCCGCCCCTGCAGACTCATCACGCTGGGCTCTCCCAAAAAACGGTTAATCCAAAGAGGAACGCCGCCGTAGTCCATGTCCTCTGATGTGGTGCTCCAGACTGGACCCAGGAGGGACAGGAGGAACGAGAGACAGAGCCAGGACCACATGATACAGCCTGAAGAAAGATTCGAAACATTTAAAATAGTTTGACAAATAGGCAGATTTCTGCTTCCTGTTATATGGTGTCGTCTTGAAGATCGTCTTGGACCATTTAAAAGATGATAGAATATTTTTGTTTTGAATTGTTAATTTCTATGGCATCCTTTATTCTTCTTCATCCTTCAGAAACTCCTGGATATGACAGATTTGAGGAAATATGTAGGATACTGCTGATATGAAAGACTTAAAAGGTTTAGGGCCTGTTTATGAGAACGCTTATGGGTAAAAACGACAAAATAATAAAATATTTAGTCAGAAGTGCCTTTCATTTAGACCAGGGGTGCTCACACTTTTTCAGCATGCGAGCTATTTACAAAATGACCAACTGTCAAAATGAATGCTACCTAATACAAAGCCGAGCAAACTGCACTGAAATGCTGTGCCCCTTTTTTTGGACCAACAGCAGCGGCCGTAATGAAATATGATCGCACTTGTTGAGTGTCAGACCTTGAGTGAGAGACAAGACCGAGTCCAAACGCGATCGAGTCTGAGACGAGTACTAAGACACGGCGATCTACCCACATGACCTTGGCGATCGACTGGTAGATCACTATCGACGTATTGAGCACCTCTGATTTGATTGACAGTGACAGCGTTTTTGGAGCTTAAAAATGCAAAAATTTGAAACTACCCTCCAGAGTGGAAAAGTTGAATACACTCAGCCGTTGTGTTTCCGTCTACACTGCCCAAGACTCAAAACTCTGGTCAGATCTGCTCACAGACGTACATGTTTACGTCACATACCTCACCACCAAGCGTCATCTCCGAGTTCAATTCCACACTCTTTTGCATCACCATATGCACGCTGATTTCCTCCTGAAAACCCTTGTTTAGATGCAGAATAAAAACGCAACACCACTTTCGTGTCTTCTTTTCAGACCATCATCGTATAAACGTAGCCTATGTGCACAATGGAACTTTTCTGGTCTCCATGGAGATGTTACATAGCCTGATTCATCAGCCGGTTTCAATTCATAGAAACCATCTGACTTTGCAGTGTTAGAATTCATTCGCTCGACAGTAAGCGGGTACTTTTTATCATTTAACCAATTGCTGCTATTTGGTCGTGATGTATGTAATGCACCGCTGACAGGGCTAACTGGTATATTAATTTTTTTCCAAATCCCGTAGTTAGAAGGACATTAACGTCTTTCCCCTTGATAAAATTCACCCAACATTCTCTTTACACAGGTGTGGTATAGGATTTTGACCCCACGGTGAGGTGACCCCGGGGTCAACATACTATATAGTATTTTGACCCCGGGGTCAGAATCCTATTATGGTATGTTGACCCCCCCATAGAATATTGACCCCCCTATTAAAATCTATCTTTTACTAAAAAAAAAAACTTGAATTCTATAGAAAAACTTTGAATATTAATACTATATCTGCAAATTAAAACATATTGACATCTTTAAAAGTGTTTTTTGAAGAACTCGGATGCATTTTTGTGTCGATTATAACTTTTGAATGTTAAAAATGACTTAGTTGTTTAAACACATATTTTACTGAAAATGAGATCAGTAGTTATTAATGAGTTAGGTAAACAAAGTGATGTATAAGGATTTGGAATCTTGTTAAAATAGACAGGGCTAATCAATTGAGTAGTTAGATAGAGGATACCTATGTCTATAGTAATCTGACCCCCCCAATATGTTTATTATAACACAACATGACTAAATTCTAGGTCGTTATTCTTAAAAACCATTGCCTAAATTGACATTATGATGAAGGATTATCTGAACATAACAAACTAAAAACCATAGCAATGTAAAATACAATATAAAAAGTGACAAGATTGCTCTGTATATGCAATTTTAACAATACGTTACATTTACACAAAATACCAAGTCGTTATTCATCAAAACATTCCTTCAAATACCTTAAAAGAAAGTGAATATGCAGTAATATATAATAAAAGTAAATGACATGAAAAATTATAATCAGATAAGTAACTACTAAAGAAAATAGTAAGGGGAGTCAAAATCCTATAGGGGGGGTCACTTTACTATAGCACTATGTTCACCCCGTGGTCAATATACTATCTCGCACCGGCTTTAAATCCTCAATCTCGGGAATCGTTGACAACACAGAATGTATGGCTCTTCGCTGATTGGCTGGTGCCTGAACTCGCACTTCCTGGATTTTTGCGAACCGTCTAGTGTATTCCGATTCCTGACCTAGTCACTGGAGAGAAATGAAACTGAGCGAAGACACTAGGTGGCACCAGCCTGGCTCGATGTTACAGCTTTGCCTGGAATTTTCCACAATATGACCTATGACGCTATCAATCAATCAGCTCTACAGGTCCGATCTGTGGAGAGGTGACCCCACTCACTTTGTTATTCAAGGTATTTTTGCACAATAAAAACGCCTGCTATTGAATAAATGCAACATAAATGTTTAATGGAACAATCCGCACCCTTAACAAACCTATACCAGCAAAGCTAAATTACATAACAACAACAAGAGTGAGTGATCTTATATAGACTCAAACCAAACCAAAACAGAAGGCCAGTTTGACTTGTAATCAATACTTCTTCTCAAAACACGAGAGAGTGTCGTCATATTTAATTTCTCCCCTGACAGCTGAATCCTGTTAGTCTAATATCGTCCACCACAAACTCACTCTCATCTTACGCAATTCTGTCCTTAACTTGAACTGAACATTTTTTCTCATTGCCAGCCCCGAATCCTGCTCCATCAGAAGCACGACTACGTTACACTGGACATATTTCAATGAATGGGACTTGCACTTACCTTTATATTTGCAGCGGAAGAGTTGGATTTCCAGGCTGGAGCGGCACTTTTACCTGTCTGTTTACCCGGTATCTGTGAAATTCCTGCTTCACGCTACCCTCTACCCAAAGCCTCTGCTCTCTCACTTTCCCCTTTTAAAACATCTTGAAGGCACAACTTGTAGGAAAAAAAAAAAACACTGGCACTAGGCCGGCATGCGTAAACCAGTTACAAATGTGGGGATACGAAAAGAAAACGTGCTGAAAACTACCAGTGCTTTTTGCAGTAGTAAAAGTTAGTAGTGCGAGTTTTCAATCCACTAGGCACCTGGGAGCCAAACAGACCATTTCAATGATATTCCACTCGCAGCAAAGCTAAAGGTGCACTGTGTAACTTTTCTGGCGCGGCGTTACCTGCTCGTGTCCACGGAGACGTTATCGATCTGCTTGTATGTTCCACAATATGGCATTAAATTCTCTATCTCGCATTTATTTCATATTTGATTCCAGGCGCAAAAATACCTCCGTTCTGTCAGTGTGCTCGCCTCTCCGCAGATCTGACCTGGAACTTTGCCCGGTGGAGTTAAATGTGCGTCTCTATGAAAGCGTGATGCAAGTTCGTACAGCGGAACATTCTACACAAAGCGGGTCACATCTCCATGGCGACCCATCCGACAAAAAAGTTACATAATGCACCTTTAAAGTTAGATTACGAAATAGAAAAAAAAACACAAAAATAAATTCAACGCAATTTATTATGCAATCCGGAATTAATTTGGCTATTTTTGCAAGTGTTAATTTTAGTGTCTCGTATTGAAATAATAACAAATGTGTTTAAAAAAAATCCTCACACAACTGTCCTCACAAAAAAATATAAAAGTGTGGGGTTTTGTTGAGAAACGTACTGAACTCATCAATAAGAAAATGTAAAATGTTTCCAGATTTGTCCATAAATTAAAATGTCTTGGGAGGGCAGCAAAACAGTGTGGGATCAGTGAGAGAAGAGCTCCGTCTAGTGGAAGAACAGGGAATTACACTGCAAAAAACTAAATCTAGTCAAGTTAAGATGAGTTGAATTAAGAATTTTTTATCATGATTTGAGTAAATTTCACTTGACAAGTAAAATTATCTGCCAGTGGAATAAGACTTTTTATACTTCAAATCTGAAATACATCTTGCTACACTTAAAATAAAACAAAATTGAATGTTGCACTGTCACACTTACTCCATTAGTCTTACATAGATTTTATTTTTTTTTCCCAGTATACAACATGGGTGATACCCTAGTGTCTCTGCTCAATTTCATCTCTCTCCAGTGACTAGGTCAGGAATCAGAATACTCTAGACCAGGCATGTCCAAACTATGGCCCGGGGGCCAAATGCGGCCCTCAGACAAGTTTTTCTTGGCCCTCAGACTTCCAGGTGAATTGGCCCAAATTACATTGCATCAATGGAAAAATATTTTTTTACTGCAAGTTTTTTTGAAAATCTACCTTGATAAAGCTAATATTTCATATTTAGTGTGTGGTTTTAAGGATCTTAGCATGAATAAAGACTGATGCCTCATTCTAATGTGTTAAACATGCACACATTTCAATTATTCCCTGTACTGAGCATCAGTCTACAGCCCTCAATCGGCCCTCTGCTTTGTCTGTGTTTAGATATGTGGCCCTTGATGAAAAAAGTTTGGACAGTTCACAAAAACCCCAGAAGTGCAAGTTCGGGCACCAGCCAATCAGCAAAGAGCCATACATTCTGTGTTGTCAATGATTCCCGAGATTGAGGATTTAAAGCCAGAACAAAGAGAATTTTTGGTGAATTTTATCAAAGGGTTAGACGTTATACCAATCAAACAGCAGCAATTGGTTAAATTAAAAAAGTACCTGCCTTCCATCGGCGAACGAGGCTGCTGTGAGGTCAGACGGTTTCCATGAAGTGAAACTGGCTGATGAATCAGGCTATGAAAATGCATGTTGCTACACTTAAAATAAGAAAAACAACAACTTTTTGCACTTAAAATAAGAAACAAAATAGAATGTTGCTTGAATAAAGAAAAACACACTTATTCCATTAGTAGAAAATTTTACTTATCAAGTTGAATCTACTCAAATGAAGTAAAATGTTATTAATTTAACTCATTTTACCTGATCTAGATATTTTTTCCTTTTTTTTTTTTCCCAGTGAACAACATGGGTGATCCAATTTGGAGT